GCTTAGGATTGTCTTGGCTATTACAGGCTTTCTTTTGGTTCCATATGAAGTTTAAGGTGGTTTTTCCCAGTTCTGTGAATAAGGTCATTGGTAGCTTGATGGGGATAGCATTGAATCTATTAATTACTTTGGGCAGTATGGCCATTTTCACAACATTGATTCTTCCTAACCATGAGCATGGAATGTTTTTCCATCTGTTTGTGTCCTTATTTCCTTGAGCAGTGGTTTGTAGTTCTCCTTGAAGAGGTCCTTTACATCCTTTGTTAGTTGTATTCCTAGGTATTTTATTCTCTTTGTAGCAATTGTGAATGGCAGTTTGCTCTTGATTTGGCTCTCTTTTAGTCTCTTATTGGTGTATAGGAATGCTTGTGATTTTTGCACATCGATTATGTATCCTGCAACTTTGCTGAGTTTGCTTATCAGTTTAAGGAGATTTTGGGCTGAGGCGATGGGGTCTTCTAAATATACGATCATGTTGTCTGCAAATAGAGGCAATTTGACTTCCTCCTTTCCTAATTGAATGCCCTTTATTTCTTTTTCTTGCCTAATTGCTCTGTCTAGAACTTCCAATACTATATTGAATAGGAGTGGTGAGAGAGGGCATCCTTGTCTAGTGCCAGATTTCAAAGGGAATGTTTCCAGTTTTTGCCCATTCAGTGTGATATTGGCTGTGGGTTTGTCATAAATAGCTTTTATTTTTTTTGAGATATGTTCCATCCATACCTAGTTTATTGAGAGTTTGTAGCATAAGGGCTGTTGAATTTTGTCAAAGGCCCCTGCATCTATTGAGATAATGTGGTTTTTGTCTTTGGTTCTGTTTATGTGTTGGATTACGACTATAGACTTGGGTATGTTGAACCAGCCTTGCATCCCTGGAATGAAGCCTACTTGATCGTAATGGATAAGCTTTTTGATGTGCTGTTGCAATCAGCTTGCCAATATTTTATTGAAGATTTTTGCATCTATGTTCATCATGGATATTGGCCTGAAGTTTTCTTTTTTTTGTTGAGTCTCTGCTGGGTTTTGGTATCAGGATGATGTTGGTCTCATAAAATGATTTGGGAAGGATTCCCTCTTTTTGTATTGTTTGGAATAGTTTCTGAAGGAATGATACCAGCTCCTCTTTGTACATCTGGTAGAATTCAGCTGTGAACCCGCCTGGACCTGACCTGGACTTTTTTTGGTTCGTAGGCCATTAATTGCTGCCTCAACTTCAGCCCTTGTTATTGGTCTATTCAAGGTTTCAACTTCTTCCTGGTTTAGGCTTGTGAGGGTGCCGATGTCCAGGAATTTATCCATTTTTTCCAGGTTTACTGGTTTATGTGCATAGAGTTGTTTGTAGTAGTCTCTGATTGTAGTTTGTGTTTCTGTGGAATCAGTGGTGATATCCCCCTATCTTTTTTTTTTTTTTTTTGCACCTATTTGATTCTTCTCTCTTTTCTTGTTTATTAATCTGGCTAGCAGTTTGTCTATTTTGTTGATCTTTTCAAAAAACTAACAGCCTTTGAGATACTTTTCCTATACAGAAAAGTCTTAGCCTGTACCGGAGCTCCTGAATCTCATAGACACTGAGACACCGCTGAGCACGGCAGCTCTGGAGACCTCTGTAAGTTTCAACCTTGATAGTGTTGTTTCCATGACTATTGCCATCTCTGGTATTGGGCTTCTGAGGGTGCTGCAAGGGCAAATGGGGAGAATTTTGGGTGTCTCTCTTTTTTATGATGACCTCTGAACTTGCCTTATTGACTGCTCTGTTCTTTTCCTGCCATCCCTTCTGCCTTCAATTTAAATATTAGCTTGATTGGACTTATTCGTTTGATTCCAGCAAACTTTTGCTTGTTAATCAGCTTTTATCGGTGTACAGAAAGGTACTAGCTCACTCCTGACTCTCTCCTTTGCTCAACTTCAGAAAACGTCTCTGAGAACTTTGGGCTTTGATTACGTTCCAGCCAATTTCCATAGTCTTTACATGAAAGTACTTAGAGGCATCTGCACATCAAAATGCAAGTAAACAAGTCACTCGGATGCCAAGCATTTCTTGCTGCAGTTGTTCTGATCCTTCCTCTTTCTCATCATGAAACTGTGGGTCACCTATAAAGTGGGGGAGGGTTCGGGGTACAATATAACTTATCATCCAAACCAGAACACTTTCGGAGTGAACAGAGGCACCAACCAGAGAGGATTCATCAACAGGGACGACCAACTGAAGCAGGGCTTGTCCTCTGATCTACACCCTCTTATAAAGGAGACAGACTTTAAAATACAGATGTCTAAGATAATGCTGTCTTCTAAAATCCTTACGACTCAAAACCCTGGAAACCAAAGCAATGAAAACCCAGGGGCAATACATATGTATGCTATTGGTTGAGCTGGACCTAGCGAAAAGCTGTGGGCAGAGAGGTCTACTTCTGTATGGTGTTCATGGCTACAGAGCCTCTGCTGAGTTCCCCATCCCAATTTTGGAGCTTCCTGCTATGCAATGAGCCTGGGCTTCTTACCACCCCTCGGCGTCCTGGGCGTGCCTGCAGAAGGGTGCCCCCTATGTTCAGCCATTGTTATCTCTAAGCATTCGGCTTCAGCACCCACTCCCCAGACCATGGCCAGGCACAGGCCCCGGGTCCTGCTCATCTCTGCATTGCTGTGGGAGGGCGTATTTCCTGCACATCCAGTGTGTTCTAGAGAGGATCACTCAGTGAAGAGATGAGCCCAGATCACTGAAGATGACCCTCTTCTGTAGAAAAGAGGATTCAGAGACGTCCCTATTCCCCTCAGCGATTTCTCTGTCACCAGCTCTTGGCAGACTTCCTCGAGTTTGTCTGCACTAGCCGTCTGTTTCCTCACTACACACCCCGCTTCTTCTGCGCCTGGTTTGTGTTCCCATCACTGCAAGAAAGCTCTGATATGGCCACCTTGCAATGGCATTCCTCAGTCCCCAGATGATTCGAACTGCATCGGTGTTGGAGGCTGTCTACCCGCTCCTTCCTGGAGAGGTGAACTGGGGCTTTCAGAGTCTGGTTCCCAGCTTCTGCCTGGCTCACAGGTGGCCCTGGACAGACCATCTCCTGGGGAGTGGGGAGGCAAATGTCCCTTTGAGCGCCCCCTGGAGGAAACATGCTGTGGATAAGAGATATGACAAAGGATCCCAAGTGAAGGGATGGGTTAGAGTCCTCAGGGCATCTTTAAGAACTTTCTGGTCCAAAAAATCCATTATTTACCTCATCCCCTCTGAACACTTAAAGGCTTCATTTAAAACAGCATAAAATTCCTCCTTGATCCTACTGTTCCCCTGACAGAGGTGCCACAATTAAAAATTGTGATTTTGGGGAGGCTGAGGCGGGTGGATCACTTGAGATCAGGAGTTCAAGACCAGCCTGGCCAACATGATGAAACCCTGTGTCTATTAACAATACAAAAATTAGCCAGGCATGATGGCAGTTGCCTGTAGTCCCAGCTACTCGGAAGGCTGAGACAGGAGAAATGCTTGAAACTGGGAGGTGGAGGTTGCAGTGAGCCAAGATCATGCCAGTGCACTCCAGCCTCGGTGACAGAGTGAGACTCCAACTCAGAAAAAATAATTTGTGAGTTTTTTCCTATATTTATACCCAATAAGATTTTGTTCAGGACTACTTTCCACAGTTTTTCTTATTAAATGAAAGTTTTGTAAAATTTCCAAATACAAAACATCGTTTGAATATATACATATATATTTTCAAACTAAACAGCTTCTCTCTCCCCATCAACCAAAGGTCACTCTGTGAAAATGATGCCTCTATCATCCCAAATGACAATTCTTGGACCAGACAGGACAAAAATTCTCTTGCCTGTCTCTTCCTTAGACTAAAACAACAATTCAAAATATTAAGAACGTCATTCCTTGAGGCCCTCCATATGCCAGGCATGCTACCAAAGGCATGTCTTTCTGTTTTTTTCTTTTTTTGAGGCAGGGTCTCACTGCTGGTGTCCAGGCTGGAGTGCAGTGGCGTGATCATGTCTCACTGCAGCCTTGACTTTCTGGGTTCAGCTGATTCTCCCACCTCAGCCTCCCAAGTAGTTGAGACTACAAGGCATGTGCCGCCACACCCCACAATGTTTCTGTTATTTCTAGTAAGGATTGGGTTTTGCCATGTTGCCCAGGTTGGTGTTGAATCTCCTGGGCTCAAGCGATCTGCCGGGCTCAGCCTCTCAAAGTGCTGGGATTATAGGTGTGAACCACCACACCTGACCCATAGTAACTTTCTTTTTTCTGACTTGGTTTTAGAAATAGGACACCCAGGCCCAAAAGGTTAAATGATTTGCCCAGGGTCACCCAGTGAGTAAAGCAGCAGAGCACGGATTTGATTGTGGTCTGCATGAAGCCAAACCTCCTATTTCTGCAGAAAGTGGCCCCCTGCAAACTGCCCTTCACCTCCTGCCCAGGAGGATTTAATATACAGTTGAGGATGAAGCAAGGGTTGCTCAGCAAACAGTTGTGAGACAGCAAGTTAGCTAAGTGGCAAAAATATTCAAGCTAGACTCTCCAATCACACTACACCGTAAGGATAAGATGTGACCCAGTCTGGTGGCTCACGCCTGTAATCCCAGCACTTTGGGAGGCCAAGGCAGGTGGATCACGAGGTCAACAGATTGAGACCATCCTGGTCAACATGGTGAAACCCCGTCTCTACTAAAAATACAAAAAATTATCTGGGCATGGTGGCGCACACCTGTAATCCCAGCTACTCAGGAGGCTGAGGCAGGAGAATTGCCTGAACCCAGGAGGCGGAGGTTGCGGTGAGCCGAGATCTCGCCATTGCACTCCAGCCTGGGTAACAAGAGCGAAACTCCGTCTCAAAAAAAAAAAAAAAGATGTGACCCAGTCATTCAAAGCGATGCATAGGAGAGATTTTATTTGAAAATTCATGCAGTCCTCCATTGCTTAGTTATTTAGCATCCATTATTGACAGCCGCTGGGTCTCGCACTGCAGATACATTGTTAACCTCAGATGTCACTTTTCCTGTTTTATTGTAGGAGAAATACACTGTGCAGAACCTTAACCAAGAGGTTGGCAGCCCTGAAAACTCATTTCATTAATGTGGCATGTTACAGATAAATCCATGCTCTTTAAAGAGAAGCAGGATGCCCGGCCAGTGTGCCATGCTTTGCTCTTGAGCCTGCCTTGAGGGGACGTGAAAGTCCTCTGCCTTCAACCTGGCTTTCTTCCCTCTCTCTTTCGTTCCCTTCCTGATGTACGTGCATTCAGATGTGGCATCCCTGTGAATATCAGCTGCAGCCTCTTCATGAGAGAATTCCTGGAGGCCACCCAGGTTGGGGAGGACTTTGAAGTCTCTTTTCTTCTGGGTGTCTGATGTGTCCCCTTCCCTACGTGCCCAGTTCTAAGGAAATGGCCACTCCCTCTGCTCCACCTGCCATGGTGGTTACCATTTAGGAAGACTTGGTGTCAGATGGATGGAAAGAGGATGGCTAGGACCCCCGGGAGGGACTGGAGTTCTGCCTCCTGCTGGGTTCTGGTTTTGCAGCTCCAGACCTCTGTTAGTCTTGATGTCCTCCTCTGTGAATTGGGCTCCTGCTGCAGGATGGATATAAGCAGCACTGGGTATGTGGACGTTAGCTGCAGTGTTGTTGAAGGTGATGGCTACTGCCCTTTGGAACGGAACAAACCAGTTGCTGCCTGTGGAGTCTGACAAGTCCCCTTGGAACAGCTGTCCTCGGGGAAGTTGCTTTCGAACTGTGCAGTCCATTAGGGAGAGATAAGAAGCTGGGGAGGAAAGTGGATTGTGCTGGCGTGGTAGAACGGTGCTGCCTGCTTTCACGGTGGATGCTGGAGGCCTGTTCAGGGGGGACTGCTGGGGAGTGGACATGGGAGTGACATGTGCCTTTTTCTCAAGAGGCACATCTGAAGGTCACGTGGCTAGGACGTGGGCAAGGCCTGCCCACAATCCACTGGGCTGTGCAGAACTGAACCCAGACGGGACCCTGGCATGCACACCCTGGCCACATGTCCCGATTTCTCCCGGAGTGGGTCGGACAGCACGTTCCCTCTCTCTGCTAGTGAATCGAGCGTGGCTCCGAAGTACCCCTTAGGCCATAGACTCCCGCCTCCTTCATCCTCCAGCAACACTTTCTCCGGGTTTTCTTTGACCTTCTCTTTCCCAACCTCTCAGGATGCTGGGGTTGGTGAGAGTGTGTCCTTTGCACACGCTGCTTTTCCAAACCCTGCTTTTGTTGTCCCTCTGTGTCTGATCTGCCTCTGGACACCTCGCTTCCAGCTCCAGTCACAGCACATCCTGGTGGGCTCCACACACTGCCCACCTCAACACCTCTTCCACCCACCTCCTCTCCTTCTACCTGGTGGTCTCTCGGAATGGCAGCCACCCCTAGTTCATTCAAAATCAGGGTGATGTCCACACTCCACACTCTCCCTTACTACACTCCCCCTTCAAGAGTCCCCCAGCCTCCGGATCTGAGGAGGGTGGGGCCAGTGCCCTCATCCCTCTGCCCCGATTTCTCCTGTCTTACCTCCCCATGTGCAGAGACTGCCTATCTGCCAGCCCCTCGCCTCTTTCACACAGACGCAGCTTTCTGAATGGAGAGTGCACGTGCCTCTGTCTCCTTTAAACTCTTCAGGGTCTCTCATGACCCCTGCAGCTTTCAGAATCATATTCAGATTCCTTAGCATGGCGCAGAGACCCTTCCTGAACTGCCCCTATAGCCTCATCTTCTTTTCCACACATCTACGTCCTACCCCCATGAGGCAAGGGGCAGTTTCTAGAACGCATGACTCAGTTCACAAGGCCGTGTCTTTAAATATCATGCCCTCTATCTGGAATCCCTTGTTCTATTTTTCATTCGCTGAACTCAGGGTTTATGAACTGCCAGCCCTGGGTCATAGCTGGTCTAAACGTGTCTTCAGGGACTTGCATGTTCAACCTTTTGAAAATCAGAGGCTACTGTTTGAAACTCAAGAGACTAGTCATTATAAAACATCCTCATCTCGGGCTTGTTTTAAATAGTCAGGAGAGCTGGTAACACTGAACCATAGTCATTGCTGGGGTTGGGAAGTGTTTGTGTCCTCTTGTTGTGGGGGTGGGGGATGCATAAGCTACATTTTTCTGCAGTCCACACTACTCCCTGTTGTCTTACACTGAGTATCATCGCTTATGTCTGTGACTTGCCTGGACCGTAAAGGTATTTGAGCTTGAGATCCCTGGACTCACCCTCTTATCGGTTAGCGAAATTCAGCGCATGTCAGTTTTTCCAAACTTCGCTGACTCAGAAGCCCCTCCTGTGCCAGGTGCATGAGGACTATAGGCCCTAAGGAAGTGGCAGCAGTGTGAGTTTCTTGCCCTTCTCAGTCTCAGCTGACTAAATGCTTATTGATAAAATCAAGCAAAGGCAGGAGGAACACCCAAGGGCATGGTCCCTTTTCCCCTGTAATGTTCAGAAACAAAAGCTTAGGAGAAGGAAATTCTGGAGCTTCATGCTTTCTAAGCTACTTGATGAGGCTGCTTCCTGGGCTTGCTGATGACCAACAGATAGAATAGGAAGAGGAAGCCCTGGCCTCTGAAGGGCAACAGCTCCAGGTGTCTTCAGGCATCAGCCGTGATCTCTGCCCCACCTTTCCCAGCCCATGCTGTTTTAGGGGCCCAAGGCTCTGGGGAGGAAAGGGAGCAGAGGAGAGGTTCTGCCTCTTGGGTCCTCCCTGTGAGCCACTTCCTGATTGGTTTGGGGAATGCCCGAAGATGTGCTCAGGGTAGAAGAAATGAACTCCAGCCGTGTTGATTTAGGGCACAGAAAATGGCTGCATCCAACTAATGCCAAGACAGCTTGTGGTGGGTGTCGGTGGGATGGTGACGAGCATAGAGAGGATGGTGGCCCCCAGGACTGTGGCTAGAATCAGGTGTCTGGATGCAAGCAGGAGAAGAACCTTGCTCGGATGGATGGATGTTGAGAAGAGGAATCATCACCAGAGTTAACACCTGGCCATGGGGCCGCCCCTGCTGTGGATGTACGCCCTTCATCCCCATCCCAGCCCTATGAGTTGGACATTTTTATTCCTCCAGTTTACTTAGAGATGTTAAGCGTCATATGCCAAGATTGACAGTGAGGAGGGAGCTCTAGGCAGAATTTGAATACAGCTCTGTCTAAGCGATTGTCCCAAACTAGGAAGTAGGCGCAAAGGTAAGGTTGGGGTCGGGGCTTGTCAGAACCTGAGCTGAGTCAAAACTGTGACGGACTTAGTATCACAGGAACACACTGGCAAGGGAAGCCAGAGGACAGGGCCAGGCAGCCAATGTACCTGGGTCACTATGCCTGACTCAGACAGACACCAGAGATTCACCCAGCCAGAGCCAAGACACATAGGTATGAAGCCGGGTCAGGGTAAAGGGAGCATGTGCAGGGACCGGGGGCTGACCCCTGTGACTTTATTCTCATGCCTTCCTTCTTGGCAGTCCTGGACCTGTGCTTTGAAGATTTCCAGCAGATTTTGTCAGGAAGTTCAGGCTATGCAGAAGGTGGGGAGGCTGGCTTCTATTCTGAACACCCGCAGAAGAGAGGTGTGAAGAATCAGTGGGTCCTTCCCTCCTTGGATTTTCCCTTTACCCCGAATATCAGCACAGACTCCCACTTCGGGCTGGGCCTAGAGGGGCATGAAAGCCACAGCCTATTAGCTCCCAGGGCCTGGGCTGGTGGCTGTAGACAGTGCCCTAGGGCCAATGGCTGCAGGTATCATTAAGGGCTTCACATCAGGGCTGCTCCAGAGCCTCACCCTCTCCCCACATCTCCTACTATCAATTTATTACCTAAAACTTCAGGAAAGAAGGCAGGAGTGCAAGGGGATTGTCTGCTGCTTGCTAGGGATTAGAAGAATCCAAAGGCAGAGAGAATTCTTTCCCATATGACTTCTTCACATGACTGCAGGGGCCTGACAAGTGGACAGGGGAGTTAACCCTTTTGTCCTGGGCAGATCACATTCGCTTGTCAAGCACCCTGGCACACAAAGGCTTCTCAGGGCCGCATCTGGAACAGTTAAGTGTGTGGTGAGGATGCACAGAAACTACCCACCCCCTGGCCAGAAGGAGGAGGGAAATGGGATCTGGCCTCCCTGCTGTCTTGACAAACATGCCTCTTTGATACAATACTATAAAAATAAAGTGAGGTGCCAAACGAGGACACAGGCTTTGCTGTGGTCCCTAGCTCTACCTCAGCTGGCAGCATATTCAAGACTGAGTTTCCTCACTCCTTCAAAAGGGTGAACTGTGAAGACTAAAAGAGATAATGAATACGTATCAACAGCTGGCAGATGCTGTTTTCATTTTAATGTAATTATTGTTCTGATTAAAAGTTTTTTTGAGAAGAGAATAGGTTATGGCTGAGTTCCGCCTTCCCTTCTTTTTGTTTCAATTAATAGGCGTTTCTTTATCCAGCATTATGGAGCACATACCCTGTGACAGGCACTGAGCAGGGCCCTGGGGTCGCAGGGGAAATGGAGACAGGTTGTCTCCAGTTTGAAGATGCTTAAAATAGACATTTGGGAACATGAAACACCTGCTCCACACACACACACACACACACCCTACACCAGCCAGCAAAGGAACAGAGCTATTAACACCTACCCATTACTGGGCAATGTTGGGAAGAAAACAGAGGCAAGGTGGCTCACACCTGTAATCCCAGCACTCTGGGAGGCCCAGGCAGGAAAATCACTTGAGGCCGAGAGTTCGAGACCAACCTAGCTAACATGGTGAAATCCTGTCCCTACTAAAAATACAAGAAATTATCTGGTTGTGGTGGCATGTGTCTGTAATCCCAGCTGCTTGGGAGGCTGAGGCAGGAGACTTGCTTGAACCTGGGAGGCAGTGATCGCAGTGAGCCGAGATCGTGCCACTGCACTCCAGCCCGGGTGACAGAGCAAGACCCTGTCTCAAAAAACAAACAACAACAAAACAGAATAAATAGAGGCAAGTGGTGGCGGATACCAGACCGCACGGATACTCAGGAGCAGACAGGAAGGGCGGTTTCAGGAGAAGGATTTGTCAGAACTCTGAAGTAAGAGGGGCACCCAGCCTCGCAAAGGGCTGTGGGAAGAGTGTCAGGCAGAGGTCTGCATGGGCCACACCTTGAAAGGGTAGAAGAGCCTA